CACAATGGTGGGACATGCTTGGAAGAGGAGGAAGGGATCCGCTGCCTATGTCTGCCTGGCTATGGGGGGGACCTGTGCGATGTTGGTGAGTGTTGAGGGACGGGGCACAGGTTTGAAGCCTGGACTCTGCCACAACGTGCTGCTTCTGGAAGGGGGAGGGAGGACATTGGTTTTGACCTTGTCATTAATGAGTCCCTGTTTTAGGCAAGTTGCATAACTTCTTTGAGTCCTACCCTCAATTTTCTTATCTAAGTGAAACCAAAATGCCTGTCATAGGGGGTCCATTTGAGACCAGTGCAAAGCATACTCCTGGCATTTAATCGGCGGTCAATACATGGCAGGCTCCATTCTCCTGGAGAGGAGAGCACTGCTTGTTACGATGGAGACTCAGCCCAGAACTCCATCCCTCACCCTGGTCCCTGTCTCTCATAAAAGACACCAGTGCCCCTGCCCAAGAGCCCCTCTAGGCTCATGCTAGCCCCCTCATTCTCTACTAGCTCTTTGACACCAACCCCCTTCGCCCCTTAGTCCCGCCCCTCTCAGCCTGCGGTAGTGGAAGGAGACCAGCCCCTTCCAGGGGACCTGGCCCTCTGGGTTTTGGTGCCCTAAGATTCCCGTCCTTCTGTGCCGCAGGCCTTAACTTCTGCAACCCGGGCTGGGACGCCTTCCAGGGCGCCTGCTACAAACACTTTTCCACACGAAGGAGCTGGGAGGAGGCAGAGACCCAGTGCCGGATGTACGGCGCGCATCTGGCCAGCATCAGCACGCCCGAGGAACAGGACTTCATCAACAGTGGGCTGGGGACAGGGTGGGAGGGACCCCCGCCCGCCATGCGTTCTCCCTCTCACTCGCCTAACCGCCTTCCTCATTAACCCATGCACTCATTCCTTGGTTTTCTCAAGCGTGCATTCCCTCACTCACTCGTTCACTCGCCTTCTCGTTCTCTCTCCCTCCTTCCCTAACCTACGCTTAGGCAGTGGCCTTCGGGAACGGAAAGTGGAGGTTCGCGCAGTAGAGTGCGCCTGTGTGGGCCGGGCCGCCGCGCAAGGGGCCGCCTCCAGTCCCTCCAACCTCTCAGCTCTCCGACCTCCGTCGGCCTCCCCCAACTCCAACTCCAATCTTGTTAAAAATTTTTACTCTTTTTCCAAAACTCCCCTTTTCTAGCCTGGATTCATATCTTCCTTATTTTCCCACCCCTATTCCCCTGCTTTCCATCTGGCCCTTGAGCAGAGACTGGAGGGAGGTAGAAGAACCCGGGAAGGGCGGGTGCTGGATCGCGGGTAAGGGTTTCCCAGGCAGTCACCGCAGACCGCCCGGGAGCGGGGAACGGTCGCCATCTGCTGGCGATGGCGCTCACTGCACCCCTTCGTCTCCCTAGACCGGTACCGGGAGTACCAGTGGATCGGGCTCAACGATAGGACCATTGAAGGCGACTTCTTGTGGTCGGATGGCGTCCCCCTGGTGAGAGGCCCCAGTCGACCCCCACCCCCCGCCGTCTAGCTCACTTCCTCTAAGCACTTCTGTTCCCTACCGCCCCCACCCCTCCTGACCCTGCCCCCTTCTTTTTCCGGCCTCCTTCCCTTTCTCGTGCCCTTTGCCTCTTCTCCCTGGGCTCTCCTCCCTTTCTTGTGTCCTCTCTCTTCCCTTCTGGCTCCCATTCTCCCTCCCCTAAAGTCCTTGCCCTCTCCTTTCCCCTTCCCCGGGAGGTCCCCTACTCCCTAGCCCTAGCCTTCCCTCTCTTGGGGCCCCGCACACCCGTCCTCCTCCCCAGATCCTCTAGGCCCTCTCCCGGTACTCCTGGTGTAGGAGCTCCTCACCACCTCCTCCGTCCCCCTAGCTCTATGAGAACTGGAACCCTGGGCAGCCTGACAGCTACTTCCTGTCTGGAGAGAACTGCGTGGTCATGGTGTGGCATGATCAGGGACAATGGAGTGATGTGCCCTGCAACTACCACCTGTCCTACACCTGCAAGATGGGGCTGGGTGAGGGCAGGCAAAGGAGGGTCCCAGCAAGGAAGTGGAGGGGTGGGTTAGGGGACCAGGGCAACTGATGTTTGTAGACAGAGAGTGCAAGGCTACATAGAGGAGTCACAACGTGTTCCAGACCATGGGAGAGCTAACAAGTTATATGGGTCCACTCTGAATCCCTAATTTTTTTTGTCGTGTTGTGGCCCATTTTTCTCTTCCCCATGGAGATTCTGGGAACTGTCACCCACAGAGCCAGGCTCCCAGTTCCTAACTGTCTTCCTTTGCAGTGTCCTGTGGGCCACCACCGGAGCTGCCCCTGGCTCAAGTGTTTGGCCGCCCACGGCTGCGCTATGAGGTGGACACAGTGCTTCGCTACCGGTGCCGGGAAGGACTGGCCCAGCGCAATCTGCCGCTGATCCGATGCCAAGAGAACGGCCGTTGGGAGACCCCCCAGATCTCCTGTGTGCCCAGAAGACCTGTGAGTGACAGGAGGAGGCAGGTAGGAGTGGGAGACAGTAGCCAACGGTAGCCCTGGGCTCCACTCTCAGTCCTGCCTGTCACTGGCCATGTGACCTTGGAGCAGTCACTGCCCCTCTCTGAGGCAATGGGGGAAAGGTGGGCTGGAGGCTCTCGGGCTCCTTCAGTGCTGATGTCTGATAACATGCAGCCACATTCCGGGCTCTCGTGGGCTGAGCAAGAACATCAGAGGGCAGGCTCTGAGGAGAGGAGCAGCCAGGGTGGAGGGTGAGTGTTTGTCTTCCCCAGGCCCGAGCTCTGCACCCAGAGAAGGACCCAGAAGGACGTCAGGGGAGGCTGCTGGGACGCTGGAAGGCGCTATTGATCCCCTCTTCCAGCCCCACGCCAGGTCCTTAGGGGGCAAGGCCTTGAACACTGCCGGCCACAGCACTGCCCTGTCACCCAAATTCTCCCTCATACCCTGTGCTCCTGCCACCACAGGATGTCACAACATGACCAGGGGTGGTGCTAGAGTCCAGGTGATAGTTCCTGAAGGGGCTTCTGGGAAATACCTGGGAGGCTGCAGCCCAGCCCAGGCCCTCTCCCCCTATCCTGGGCACCAGATTTTCCATCAGGGCCGGGGTAAATCCCTAAGTGCCTCAACTGCCCTCTGCCTGGCAGCCATCCTCTCCCCTCCATTTCTCTGGGGATCACTGTGCCCACTCATTCTGGATTTTCCAAGGGAATGGGCTTGCAGGATGAACTGTCTGTAAAACCAACAGGAAATAAAACTGTGTATGAGCCCAAGCAAGTTGGACACTTCTGTGTGTATGTCTGTGACAGACAGAGAGAGGTTAGGTTGGGCAGGGCCTCGTAGGATACATAGAGCTTCGGGATTTATTCGCTTCCAAAGGTCAGAGATGTCCCAAAGATGTCAGCAAGTAGAACAGTGCCAGAATAGCTGCCAGGAAGTACTTATGGAATGAAGGAACGCACAGGTGCTGGGGGACAGCTGGAGTGATGCAGCATGTGTGCAAAGAGATGGAGTGCCTGAGTGCCTAAGAGTCAAGTGGACGTCAATGAGCTCTGTCCTGGGAGGGAGAAGGGCTGGGGTCCCAGAGAGGAAGGCAGAGGTTGGTGCCTTGGTATCCCAGTTCTGAGCTTCCGGAAGGGCCTTCCCTCATGGGAGTGTGAGAGTGAGGGTGATGGGAGAGCTCCGTTGGCACTGCAGCACGTCTGGGGGTTAGGCCGCAGGAAGGTTTACGTCCAGCAGAGAAGGCAGAGATGCAAGAAATAAGGAAACAAGCTAAAGGCCAAGGGGAGGTTCCCAGCCCTGCGGCAGACTGGGCTCCGGGGAACGACCTGGGGGCCGGCACAGGCAGCGACCAGCAGAGGGCGCCGCGGACCCAGCGCGGCGCTCTGAGAGTGCCGTGTAAGCGTGCGCCGAAGGAGACGGGCAGAGGGGTGCGAGGAGCCCCAGGATCCCGCCAGGGGGCGCCGCGGGCTTGCGTCCTGAGGAGGTGGGAGGGGAAGGGGGGTGGTTGGCTATGTAGGGGGTTGTACTTCCGGCCAGGCTTAGCTGGCCCTGGGGGCTGTGAGTCAGCGGAGGTTGAGAGGATGAGGTCACTCTGAGAACTGCAGAGAGTGACCCAGCGCCCGCGTGTGTGTGTGTGTGTGTGTGTGTGTGTGCGTGCGTGCGTGTGTGCGCGCGCGCGCGCACCCTTCTCCCAGTGCACAGAATTGTTGGTGAAGTGCGTATCAGGATGCAGTCTGTCCTCATGAGAGGACATTCCTGCAGATCCTCAGTTAGGCACACAGAGTCACACATAGGCACACACGTGCACACTGTCGTATGTACACACTCCTGCATGTGCCCACTTAGTTACAGCACATCACCCACAAGGGCAATACTTATTCCTTCTCTGAAGCCAGTAAAATCCAGAGACAGGGAGATAGATCCAGAGGAACAAAGACTGATAGTAATACCGGGAGACCCAGAGATAGTGGGCAAGACAGGCAGACACAGGTTCAATACAGCTCTGTGTTGGTGGGAGCTGGGGCTCTCCCAGGCCATCCCTGCCTAGCTCCTGGCCCTTCCCCACCCTATTTCTAAACTTGAAACCAGCTGGTCTCTGATATACCAGTGTGACCTCCCACACCCACCTACCACCACGTTCCTTCCTCACCTCAGGCCTCACCTACCCCACCTTCTGCCCCCCACACAACTCAGCCGTGCGTCGCTAGGGAGCAGAGACTTCTGTTTCTTAAGGAGCTATAGGGAAGAGGATGATTCTGGGGCCAGAGTAGATCCTCACTTTATCCTGTGTTACCCTGTGATTGTACAGTCAATGCATTTTTAGGGCTCTCAGGGGATTTAGGTGGAACTGAGTGGATGAAGATCAAGGTGGGCCTTTGAAAGTAGGGCCTTAAGAGGAGAAGGCTGGGGAGGGGCAGTGTCTGTCCTTGGGCTCTTAAGGGAGGTCCCCTGAGGTGGAGTTTGATAGTATATTGGATTCCCCAGAGAGCCCATGGTGGTGAGCTGGAAGGGGCTTTGGTTTCCCATCAAGGCATTCTCACCGACTCTCCCCAAGAGCGGCAGGAGGGCTCCATCATCTTCTCTGATGTATTGATCAGGAGAGCTTCAGAGGTAGACAGGCTGAAGCTGGAATCCTGCCCTGTCCCTGATACCTGCCCGGGTGTTCTGGCGGGGCCCGGAAACGGAAGCCCTCTCCTGGCTTTGTTGGGCTTCCTGGGGAAGGCGGAGCTGGTCCACGGGTGACTCAGCGTCCTGCACAGAGTCCAACCCCTGGCCCAGTCCCTGTGTGTGTGTGCGTGTATGTGTGTCCTATCCTGGCCTTGGGCAGGAGGAATTGGCCCCTCATAGAGTGTCAGCCCCATCCTTGGGGATGTGGAGTAGGGGCCACATCTGTGTCTGCCTCTGCTTCCAGGGCACAGCACCAATCTAACGATGTGCTCACCCCTGCCAAGCCCCTGGACGTGTGGTTAAGCTCTCAGCCTCATTCCCACATGTCTAAACAGGGGTCCCTTTGCAGAGTTTTCAGTTTCCTGGGAATGAAGGAGATCAGAACGTGTATGGAGAGAAAAGACCCAGCCTGGGTGAGATTTAGGGGCTTGAACATTGCCGAGGGGCCTGGCAGCCTGGTGAGATGGCCTTCCAGAGAGCCCCAACTTATTTGCTAGGGCCTCCAGCTTCCTTCCTTCCAGGCTGCTCTACCACACACCTACCTCCCCATTCCTCCCCCACACCCCCAACTCCCACAGCACTGTCCTGACCTCACTGGGGCCTTTGTCCTAGCTGTGAGGCCCTGTCTGTGGGCCTGTCTCCTGCACAGGGAAAGAAAGAGTCCCATTGTTCCGGCTCCCTGCTGTGACACAGCAGCTCCTAAAGACTTCCAAAAATGCTTAGCCCGTCAGACTCCCGTGGGTGAGTGGACTTTCCCTGGGGGCTGCAGCCAGATCTCTGCCTGGAGTGAGGGCCCAGGTGCTGTCTCTCCCAGCTGTGCAAGTTCTTTCAATCCACAGACTGGAGGTCCTTCCTGAGATCTGACTTCCGCTCTGCATTCTGCAAAGCAGCCTACTTCCTCCTGAGAAGGGAGAACTGAAAGAGGCAGGGGCAGAGCATGAGGAAGGAAAGGAAAGAAAGGAAAAAAAGGAAGGAAAAAGAAAACAGGAGAAAAGGAAGAATGTGAGGAAATTCCCCCCACTGAGAGACTCTAGACTAGTTAATTGTCTGAGTGGGTGGATCTTGTGGCTTCTGTGTTTATTCCCGGATGCTTCTTCCTTAGTATTTAGAGAGCTTGCTAATGGGGAGGCTGTCGACCACAGGACTGGAATATTTAAGGGGGCTAGCCCACAGTCCCCTGGTCCATGGGTTTTTGTTTCATTTTTTTAAGACAGGGTCTCACTTTGTCGCCCAGATTGTAGTGCAGAGGCACGATCTTGGCTCACTGCAAACTCTGCCTCCCAGGCTCAAGCGATTCTCATGCCTCAGCCTCCTCAGCAGCTGGGACTACAAGGCGCATACTACCAGGCAGGAAACTTTTTGTTTTTGTTTTTGTTTTTGTAGGAATGAGGTTTCTCCATGTTGTTCAAGCTGGTCTCGAACTACTGGGCTCAAGCGATCCTCCCGCCTCAGCCTCCCAAAGTGCTGGGATTACAGGCATAAGCCACCTCGCCTGCCCTGGCCCATGTTATATAGACCCCAAGTGGCATCTAGGAATTCCTAGTATCACTGGCAAGGGACATCGCTCTGTGCCTCAGTTTCTCCATCAAGGTGAACCGAAGTTCTCTCTGACATAATTTCCTGGCAAGTGAAAGGAAGAAATCCTGGAGAGACCAAAAGACTCAGAAATTGCGCCAGGCACGGTGGCTCACGCCTGTAATCCCAGCACTTTGGGAGGCCGAGCCGGGTGGATCACAAAGTCAGGAGATCGAGACCTTCCTGGCTAACACGGTGAAACCCCGTCTCTACTAAAAATACAAAAAAATTAGCCGGGTGTGGTGGCGGGCGCCTGTAGTCCCAGCTACTGTGGAGACTGAGGCAGGAGAATGGCGTGAACCCGGGAGGCGGAGCTTGCAGTGAGCGGAGATCGCACCACTGCACTCCAGCCTGGGCGACAGAGCGAGACTCCGTCTCAAAAAAAAAAAAAAAAGACTCAGAACTTGGGAAGGGACCAGGGAGGAGGGAGGAAAGTAGGCAGAAGACAGAAGAGAGGTGAAAATGGGGAGACAGGGAAGGAGAGTTGGCTCCCTGAGTGGCAAATGTCTCTCCTTTGCGAAGAGGATGGAGTCCTGAAGACCCAGGAGGGGGCCAGAGCCAGCGGAGCATTCCCCCACTGTAAAGTCTCCCAACCAGCCTGCCTGGGGCTCTGGGGCCCTGGCACTTGCAAGCAGCTGAGACGGCAGCTGTTGGGAGGGGGTTCCTCGACAGAGGCCTCCTGGCACCTGCCTTGGTTTATTTCTGGAGCCACAGCTGAGTCATGGGGGTGGGGAGAGTGAATGGGACTGGGGGGGAGGGGAGACTGTGACTAGAAGAGAAGGTTGAGGAAGGAAGAGGGCTCTAGGGCCTGGGACTCTGGGACCTAGGGTCCATCCCTTTGGGGCCAGAGCATCAAGTACAGGAGGGACATCCGCATTGGAGCCCCTGGAATAGTGGGGCTTGGGGAAGGCTTTGGGGAGTAGGAGGCAGGGCCTCTACCCTTGAAATGTGGGAGAAGAGACAAGCCTGATCTGGGTGTGGGAATGCTGTGTTAGAAAGACTGAGAGGCCAGTCACAGTGGCTCATGCCTGTAATCTCAGCATTTGGGGAGGCCAAAGCAGGCAGATCACTTGAGCTCAGGAGTTCAAGACCAGCCTAGGTAACATAGCAAGAGCCTGTCTCTACTAAAAATACAAAAATTAGCCAGGTCTGGTGGCTTACGCCTGCAGTCCCAGCAACTTGAGAGGCTGAGGTGGGAGGATCGCTGTTGTGAGCCAAGGAGGCCAAGGCTGCCGTGAACTAGGATAGTGCCACTGCACTCCAGCCTGGGTGAGAGACAAGATCTCCATCTCTTAAAAAAGAAGAAGAAGGGGAAGGGGAAGGGGAAGGGGAAGGGGAAGGGGAAAGAGGGCTCCCAGCAGGGAGGTAGATGGGAGACCCCAGTGCCATGAGAGAGGAAAGAGAGAGGGCCACATTTTCCTCTGTGGGCCATTCTTTCTGTCCCTCCCTCTGCTTCTGAGCCAAGCATCTCCTCCTCTGGTTCAGCCACTTGAGATTCTCATCCTAGTCTTTTTAAGGTCAGCCTGTAGATTCAGGAACAGAGTGCCTGAGTCCTTTCTTCAGGTACTTGAGCTGCATTCAAGAAACATCCTATTTTCCCACCTCCCAAGAAGACCCTCAAGTCTAACTTCCATCTGTCCTGCTGTAGGATCCATCCTGGAACTTAGCTCTCCCCTGTGGGTGGGGCTGGGGGTCCAGCTGGGACCCAGGAGCCTGTGCCCAAGCCCAGAGTCGTCTCGGGTTTCCTGGGCTTAGGTGGGCTTTTTTTCCATCCCCTCTCCCTTCCATGGGTAGCCTCAGAGAGCACATTCCAGCTGAAATTAAATCACATTCCTCTCTCCCTGCTTCATGAGCATGGCATTGCTGACAGCAGCTGTGACACCACAGGGTCAAGTGGCAGCAGCTGGTTCCCCAGGGAGGGGCTGAGAAGGGGGTGGGGAGGGAAGTGGAGGACCAGGGCCTTTCTTTGGAGGCAATAAATGAATTCTGATTCTTTGATCTCAAGAGACCAGAGAAAGAGGCACAGACCCTGCAGTGGCAGGGATCAAGGTTAGACCACAGGATGTCCTAGCTGTGTGGTGCCTCTGGGGATGACCCAGTCCCAGGAAGGCCCCACGGGGGAAGGAGGTGTCCAGTGTCTCTTTCTGAGAGGACCCTGGAAGAACGCACTCTCCCCACTCCAGGGCTGGGCTCTCACACAGACATTAAGGCTGAAGGAGCCCTTTAAGAGACCACACTCTGTGCTCCCTTGGCCGAGCCCAACACCTAGGCCTTTGATTTCCTCTGAGACTCGTGGCAATAGCGGCAGGAGCAGCAGCAGCAGCAATGGGACAGCATCAGGCTGGCTTGAATGGAGAGCTCAGCCCCTAACCTCACCCTCTGAGGCGCCTCAGCCTGCACAGCCTTATAAGGAAGTGCCCCAAACAAACCGAGGAAGCCACCTCCGGCCCCCCACCCGGCCCCACCCCATCCAAAAGCTATATTTACCCAGAGGAGGCCCCAGAATAACCTCCCACTTGTTCTTGCACTGATTGGAGGGGTGGGGGCAGGGGGGATACTGTCCCTCTGTGCTCCCTCCCCTGGGACTCCACCCTCAGAAGTGTGTCCCGTTGTCTGTCATGGTCATTCATTTATTTAATACACATTTATTCAGCACCTCCTGGGCTCCCAGGCACTGAGCTAGGCTCTGGGCGATGACCAGGACAAAGGTCTTGCTGTCCCAGAAACTCCCATGATGACAGCATGTCTGAGACTCCGCAGTTCCCTGGTTTTGCTTCTACTCTGGCCTCCTTTTCCAGCTCCTTCCCAGTCATCTCCTCTCTGTCAGGAGCTCCTCTGGAGCTCTGTCCAGGGCTCTCTTCATCTTATATGCTCTCTCTGGGGGATCTCTAGGCCAGCGACCCCCTAATTCTTGTCTCCAACCTGGCCCTCTCTCCTGTGCTCCAGCTCCACGTGTCCACCTACCTCAAGCACCTCCTCCTGGAGGTCACAATTTCCTGCTGGACTCTGCCGCTCAGAAAATAGTCCTATGTCTGCCAGCTGCCCAGCCAAAAACCTGGGACCCTCTGCTGGCATATCCCCCCCATCCCCTACCATGGATTACCAAGTCCTGAGATTCCCTTTCCTCATGTGTCTCCTCTCCACCACTGCCACCGCCACTGTCTCCTGCCTGCACTATGGCAGGTAGTAGCCTCCCTGAAGCCCTCCTGCCCACACCAACCTGTTTTCACGCAGCAGCCAGAGTTTGACTTGAAATGCAAACCTGGGCCGGGGGTGGTGGCTCACGCCCGTCATCCCAGAACTTTGGGAGGCCGACGCAGGCGGATCACTTGAGGTCAGGAGTTTGAGACTAACCTGGCCATCATGCTGAAACCCCGTCTCTACTATACAAAAATTAGCTGGGTGT